AAACCCAAAACACGATATAGACATGTAGTAGCAATGAGTGAACCAAGAAAAAGATATAAACATGTAGTAACAATAAGTGAACCAGAAAACGATCTAGACATGTACTAACAATGAGTGAACCAGAAAACGATATAGACATGTAGTAACAATGACTGAACCCAGAAAACGATATAGACATGTAGTAACAATGAGTAAACCCAGAACACGATATAGACATGTACATAGTAACAATGAGTGAACCCAGAAAACTATATAGACATGTAGTAACAATGACTGAACCCAGAAAACGATATAGACATGCAGTAACAATGAGTAAACCCAGAAAACGATATAGACATGTAGTAACAATGAGTGAACCCAGAAAACGATATAGACATGTAGTAACAATGAGTAAACCCAGAAAACGATATAGACATGTAGTAACAATGAGTGAACCCAGAAAACGATATAGACATGTAGTAACAATGACTGAACCCAGAAAACGATATAGACATGCAGTAACAATGAGTAAACCCAGAAAACGATATAGACATGTAGTAACAATGACTGAACCCAGAAAACGATATAGACATGTAGTAAGAATGAGTGAACCCAGAAAACGATATAGACATGTAGTAAGAATGAGTGAACCATCGACACGATATAGACATGTAGTAACAATGAGTGAACCAAAAAATAATATAGACACGTAGTAACAATGAGTAAACCCTTATCACGATATAGACATGTAGTAACAATGAGTGAACCCTTATCACGATATAGACATGTAGTAACAATGAGTAAACCCAGAAAACGATATATAACAATATTGCGAGTGGGCCCAGGCAATGGCAATACAATGCGCCATAATAGATATACATATTAGTAATGCAATGTCTATTTTAAGACTGGTTAGTACACGTGCATCTGTTATGTAAGATTTGTTTTGCCTTAGGATGACTTCGTCTGGTATTACAATTATTTATTTCTACACTGACTATTTCAAACATGCTTGTCTAAGTTTGAAACTCATTCCATTACAAATAACGGACAAACTAACCGACACATGGAAACCAAATTACACAATGATTTAAACAAAACTTGTTAACACCCATAAAACAAATCTGTTCAGTTTAATTGAGATATTTAAACAGATTTGACCATCGTTAATGGCGTCTTCGTGTACATTATGCAGCTAGACATTTCATATTACTGAACTACTTGCGAATGTCTGATTGATGAGCCACCCTAGCACCACCTGTCTTGTCATTTGTGGTTTCGATCATGTAAATATGTTCTTTTAAGACATACGTTGAACAAATACCGAAGGGACATATTGCTGGCAGCCGGACTATAAATGCCCTTTGTATTACTAGGTATTAATGCAATCAAGTGTGCAGTAAATGTTCTGCACTACCATTCTATACGTTGCTGTTGTTGTTGCTAAAGTTATAATAACAGTTGAATAAGCTTATTTTGTGAACAAGCTTCATGTACAAATCAACTTGATGTTTTTTGGTGGAAGTTAGGAGATTTGAGAATCATATGTATCAAGGCTGAACTTTAGTTTTATTTTTTGTGCCAAATGAACATTACTACCAATTACAATATTTTGAACAACTATAAAACAAAATATATGCAGGCCTTGTGAAAACTAGAATGCCAATACTCAATGCACAAATTCCGGCATCATCAGAACCCACAATACCGGGAAAAAAACAAAAGAGACAAACACAACACTGTACGACACATTCAATCCTGGGAGAGATACAAAGACCTGCTGGAAACCAACCAAAATTCAATGTCAAGAGTGAGCTCATACTGCCCGCTGCGGCAATCGCAACATGTTGCGATATGAATCTCAAAATTAGTCCCAATTGGAAAAAAAAAACATTTGATCATGTTGTCACCTGTAGTGAGTATCATATCAGAGGCCAGTAACAAACAAAATGGTTTCAGAGGCAGGAAATACGCTGGAACAATAACATTGATTGTCTTTTACTTCAGAGATAAAAATACTATATAACTGTTAATTCGGGGTAGATTTAAAAGTCTACAATGTTTAGGTGAATATGAAACAAAACCTCTGATTTCAGGATAACAAACTTTTCGTATGATATTATTACGTCAAACCTATTTTTCAAAACACATTTTAAAAATAACGCAAAGTAAACAGAACGTGTATATATTGCATTTATCGTGTCATCAACACATCATTTTGTGCACTACGTGAACCAATGATAGATAATTGTCAAAACGGTCACTATGAAAATAAGTTTCTTGAAACATTGTATGATGATGAGTAGCAGAGCATAAGTTTTTGATAATTGTTCTAGATGAGTACGATTTTGAGCACAATAAACTGTAATTTTGTATTCTTTATGGTAGCTGCTTATGTTTATCATGGATCTCTTAGTTGGTGGAGACAGGAGAAAATAGTGCAGACGATACACATCTGTATTATGTTGTCGCTGGATCTGTCATCGTTAGTTCCAGGTGCTAACAAGGGTACGGTGGTCGATATGCCTGTGAATCTGAATTTTGGAGATGACACAGATGTCCAAGAGTCTCTTCAAATGAAGGTATGTCATTATTTTTACAAGTGAATATTATCGTTATTTTTAAATACAACGATTCTCACAGTCATTGGTTCACGTAAAGTATGTCACACGTCAACGGAGCTGACATCACTTCAGGCGATCATGTCACGCCCGAGAGTGATAGTTTTAGAGAGTGTACTTCTAAATTATATTGGGAAAGTAAGCTTTTAGGTCGCACATATCACTTGCACCCATGAATTTGATATTGACTCACATTGTAAGATCCTTAATCCTTCTTGTGTAAATCTCTCTTTTGATATATTTAGTTAGGAATATATATTTTGGAATGTAGCCAAAAACAAGCAAATCATAGAGGCGATACTATTTAACGCAAATTGAATCGCTCTTCGATTTCAGATTGGCAACGCGGATGTGAGTCATTTAAGCGTACATTTTGAAATATCAGTATCGTAAATATGATAAGCACACGTACATACGATATATATGTGAAATATATTTATTGTTTATATTGAATATCGTGGTGCTGCAATGTCACATATGACATTGAAACGTGACAAGGCAAGTTTTATGACAAGATATATTTCTTCAAATTATTCCATAGGTACTTAACATATCTGAGAATGAACAATATGTCGTGCTTATTACCATTATTGAACACGAGTATACTTTCCGCACTTCGAAAGATTTCTTCCACGTCGATTTGGTTGTGTGCTGTAAACACCACACCTTACATAATGCAGAAGGAAGGTAAGATAAAACATTTTGCATCGCAGACTGATAACCTGCTAAACATTAGTAATTTTCTGAACGGTAAACCACGACTGCAAGGAACGTACTATATTCGTTCTACACATATCTTGTTCACAGCTGGAAATCACATAATAATTTCATGTATCATTTAATTACTGATGTTATAAGATGTTTTGCAAACGCCAACTTTGTTGTCAGCCTGCAACGAAAAATTATATCTACAGTGAATACCGGCATGTCTTGTAATGGAGAAGGAAAAACAGAGAACACGATGACTAAAACCATTTAGCTGTGTAATGTTTAAAAAATCTACGTTAGCTTGGCCTCCCACTTTATGAAAATATACAATAAACTCCTGTAAATGTAAACTAAGAGGCGTTCACAAGTATCCTAGCTAACTAACCTGTTTACAAACAGTCAAGTACAAGTATTTTTTTATTATTTTGACTTTCTACTCCTTCAAAGTAATTGTTAAAGTTCATTGGGTACAGCAATTATGTGGTCTAGTCGCGTTGCGTAGGTTCGAAAATATCATTCCACCCGATGCCCCAAACGAGTGTCTCGTTGATGGATTATCTATGTCTGTGTTCTTAGCCAACATCAACAATGTTAATTCCTTTACGGTTTGTGTTATTCTGAGGTTAATTTAAAGTTAAAGACAAACGTCTGTCCCCATTGTGTTATCCCCTAAATGATCTCCTAGCGTGGTACATATATAACATTTATTGCTGGCAACTACCACGCATTCCCGATCAATGAATCTAACATGGCATTGGCATGGCGGAATGTCATCAAGGAATGCCGTTGCTAAGTAGTCAGGAGTCATGCTATTAAAGTTCGAATGTTTTAAAAGCACATACAGTTGACTTCTCGAGACGTATGAATGGCACGTACCTTGCATCATATCCCTATTATGTATAGGACAAAGCTTTCGCACGAGAATTCTTCTGAGATATGATGTCCGACCAAGATAAAATGTCGAGGTCGCACCAAACTATTATATATATATTTATATTTTGGGAAAATTCTCATAACTTTGAATGCATTCAATGATTCTTTTCAAGAAATCAGCACGTAAATCGTAATGAAAGGACACTATACCCTTATTATAAAATGGAATATGCTATAAAAATCCGTGAATATTTGGTGAGCAATGCGTGAAAGCAGTGCACGTGTGCATGAGGATTGACTTTTTGGAATTTCTTCGCATAAAATTTGCATACTGAAATTGTGGCAGGTGGGCCCTATACGTGCTTAATGTAAACTTATAAATATTCATAATCAAACGACGAAACATCATATTGCTTAAAAGCCAATGACCGACATTGTATTCAAGATATTCTATGAGCTCAAAGTTCGAACCCAGCCATGGTTGTTTTTTTCCTAGCACGGTAAAGCTAGGTCAGTGTTTCCTTGATGACACGTGATTTGGAAACAAAAGGCGAATAAAAATCCGAGAATAAACAAATTTCGAAAACAGGAAATTCAGTGTAATTTATACAAAATAAAGTTGAAAATGAAATCGAAAATTACTCTGTTTGGAATTTTTCAACATATAGAAAACATTTATTTATCAAAACCGAAAAAATATATTTATTTCTATCACAAGCAGCAGACTGTATAGTTGTCTTTACCTCAAATAATGATAAAAGGCCAGTCAAGACAACATCAACTTACCTAAGGATTTTTATTTTTCCAATAATTGTGTTGATTCATTTAATGTGCTCTTATATTTTCTCTATGACAATTGGTATCATCGCCAAAGATGATATGCAATATTTATTATTATTATTATTATATTATTATTATTATTATTATTATTATTATTATTATTATTATTATTATTATTATTATTATTATTATTATTATTATTGCTTTGCTCATAAATAATATGATACATAATGTGTCTGTTATTATTTATAGCATGCTTCTAAGCACAACAGTTGATGTGTTGAGTGATGGATCTCCACAACCACCAATAATACCTATGTTACATATATATCAACAAGATAGTACACACCCTGCTTACGTAAGGGGATGGTCACCACAAGGTATGAGCTTACATAAATTGCAAAAATTGTGTAACGTGTACAATATAACCAACACACGTTTTCCGTGGCATATATATGATAATATATTTATAGATGTAGTTATAAGTCCGTTTGCCCGTCTATCTCCATGTTAAACTATCGCATCTGAATGCATGTGTGAATGTGTAATAACTTTTCAGGAACAGATACCTTGGCGATGACGTGTTTAAAGGTCGTGCTTAACTTTATTGGATTTTAATCACACTTTTAATGTTTTACAGGCCATCCACTCGTCTATTCTATCGGCGAATACAGCCATCTGGGCAGCACAGACAGACCCAGCCTGCCTGCAGACTGTGTAACGGTGGACAAAGTTACGGGTCAGATTTCACTGCTTATTGCTCAAATTGCACCAGGACCATGGAATTTACCTCTGCTAATTAAAGATGCTGTGACTGAAGTCCAGGTTAGGTTACGCCTATTCACTCTGTCGGCAAACGACAGGATATGTGATCTGTCAAAATAAAACACTAGTTTGTCAAATTGTCCATGAAGAGAAATGCGTGGCAGTTATTTGGCCACTCATCCCATGGTCCATTTACACAGTTGGTCAATTAGTTGTTGAATGCCTCCGAAATGCAATTGAAGACGTTCAACCGAATGCACAGTGCGATTAAAATACCGACTATGCGCGTCCCAAAATTACATTACTGAGTTTGCTTTCAGGTATCTTCAGATATCCCAGAAGGCATTACAATAATTAACAACATATTGACTGGAAGAGGTTGATGGGAAAAGATATCAACAGTATGATTAAAACCTATCATAAGTAATATCTGCATACTTACTTGTTTACGCCATTGGCACAAATAATAAGGTCTATTAGGGGTTCTGAAAGATGGGCGTGGCTAGCCTAATACCTTAACCTTTGAAACGGGAATTCGCTGAAATGTTGTCGAGTCAATCTTTGTGACTGGCTATTTGAAAGTCCAAAGAAAGCTGCACCCAAACTAGTTTTTGAATTTTAAACTAAATATTATTTTATTTAGACCAATTCTCAATTTAAAATGTTCGTCAGTGTAGAGCTTACACTGTGGGGTCATAGTTTCCATACATTCATTTTTGGGTTACCCACTTTTTGCTTGCGCTTTTTCATTTATTTATTCGAAAGAAATTTCTTTAATTATTACCACTTAACGGCATGTTAAACCACATATGCTGTGGGTTAACCTGAGCAAAATAAAGAATGAAATGAAAAATTAAATAGTTGTTATGATAACACGAACAATCCATCCATTAATAATCGAAGACGTAAGCGCACAGCGTAGTAGTCCGTATGTAAAGTTGTGTATATGGAACGAATAAGAGAGTAATAAAATAAAATAACAGTACAATTAAATGTGTAACTGACGAACAACTCTACATGGGTGGGTAAGCTGTACACGGCACTGGAAATACATAAAATGCCTGCAAATAGATAAATAACATAAAGAATGTAATAACACAGCATGGAAGATATGAAAAACTGCTTGTAGATACACATAGCGGGATACTCCGCCTCTACAGACAGCATTAAATTGATTGTGACATTTGATATGTGATTATAATACCAACTATCAGCAGTACTATTGGTTTGTTTTACACCTCTTGGGGCTAAGTCCATCCGTCCAGGATATTATCAATTGATTTCAAGAAACGTCGCTAATCTATTTGCTACTTTGGAAATAGTTTTAAATTAGCATTTTAATAAGGCGCATGTGTGCCACTACGGGGGTTTCGTTAATATTCCAATTTCAGTCATTCCAATCGAAATCTCATGTTTGTGCTTTTAACCCCGACAAGCTTCTCGGCTGTGAAGATAAACGATGTTGAGACTTTTGTCAGATCCTTTGAACTTTCGAATGCCGGTTAAATTATCACGACACCGACGGTTGCATGTGTTTTAGTAGACCATTAGTTCTCTATTACTGATTTCTTCTGAACAAAGTAACAATAAACTTAAAGAAGTCTTGTGATTTTTAATCGCCATGGTTTTATGTCATAACTTCACGCTGACACGAAATATTTACTAAAAGAGAAATTAATTAAAGTTCATCATTACTGTAACAGATTAATTATTAGAATATAATTATGAATCATAGATTTCCATGGAAACTGTATTGGTAATTGGTGACTTGGACAAGAATATGCCGCCTTATATCGTAGAGCCAAAGTCACACAACTGCTGGCAGGATACCAAGTATGCGTGTGTAGATGATGAATTCGTCCTAGACATTGTAGCCAGGGATACAGATGTGTTCGACACGATGAATATCGTAGTCTTGTCGACCATTCCAGATAATGAAATGTCCATATCACGCGGTGATATACATGATAAAAAGGGATATATAGAAGGTAAACACAATATTATTTCAATAATTTGTGGTTTATAGAATGAAGAACGATAAACATAATGGTAGTATCGAGTCCCAGCACATACCTAATTCAAAACGTGTTAGTTGGTAACCCTACATGTCTTTGGGTTCATTAGACAATCTTTGATTAACGAGGAACGTGTTTGACTGTTGGACATCCTTGTATAAGGCAATGTTTTCCCACTTTCAAGAATACTCAATATTACCACCCACCCTCCCAATTTGCATTACCACATTCACTCGTCCAGTGGTGTTTAAGGAGGGTACAAAATCTCATCGCTATGCTTACGTATGCAGAAAGCATAACATTATTTTTAAAAACATCGAGCGTATTGTACACGGAGGATTTGAAGCGTGTTGTATTCTCGATGACAGTTATGGTGATTAGTGACCTGAATGGTCTGTAAATGGTTGCCTTCTATTTTGTAGTGACATGGACACTGACATGGAAGCCAGTGACAGCTGTATATTACCCTGTATGTTTCACAGCCCTGGATAGTAAAGATTCTTATTCAAATCCCCACTGTCTGGTTTTACAAGCGTTGCGTAAATGCCACAACATGAAGGTCAGTCAGTCTGTATGTATATATATATGTATGTCTGCCAGTGAGCTCACTGGATTTAGCAACACGATAAATATGGTCGTAACTATCACTCAGAATCTTCTATTTTTTCCTGTACATCTACGATTTTGAATTAAATTTATACCGACAGCATTATTTTCTATGTGCAATTTGCCCTCTCCGTTTATATTCATCAGTTAGATTCCTCCGGGTCACCGGGATTACCCCACACTGGATTGCTCCGAAGTAGAGAAGTTACACAAACATGGCCTCAAATGAAATACTGAAAACTTTAGACCTCAAGCAGTTCTGTCTCCATGCTGTTTATTATTAGGGATATTAATATCCCGATCCATTTATTATTTTAAACACAGTCTTACGATCTGTAGGGTCGTGTCACTATATATGATGCGTGTGTCTCTAACCCGTAGGCGCCGGTGATTGATTTAAATGGAATGGCGGCAAATGGACATGATCACATGGTGGTGTTCATCGCTGAGAAGGACAGTGCTGTGCCGATTATTCACTCCGATACTCATATCGAAGCAGAAGACATCAAGTCAATTACACTACAGCTCGTTGGCTTAAAAGACCAGAAGAGGGAGATACTCGCTCCAATTGCTGAATGCCATACAGATAGACGATTGCGTTATTACCACTCTGACGATTTTACCAGTATTGTCATATCTGGAGATTCTCAAGGGACATCGTACGTACAGTTCCTCAGTTGTTTAAGATACATCCACACGCTTGAGTGTCCAACCGTCGGGGATAGAGATATAATAATATCGGTAAGGGACGTCAATCAAATGACTTCCACATCTATCACAGTGATCAAAATACAACAATTAGACAAATCTGCCGTAGCGGGATACAATGTTATTGCAACCACGGGACAAACAGCGGGAATAACTCAGGAGCATGTCTTGAAATTACTGCCAGACGGATTAGATATTTTGAACATGACCTTGGGGTTCAGTCCTCGAGCCATCGCGGGTGGCAGTTTGCAAATTGGCAATGATTTAGATGAGTTATCTAATGTAAGCGTTGTTCTTATAACTCACAATAAAATACTCATCTCCGGCAAAGCATCGTCTGAAACATACAGACGAATCGCCGAAGATGTGTTATATACGAATAAAGAAAACAGAGATCAGTGCGTCAGTTTTGAATTGCATACATTTGACGGTAGCGTCTATCAAGACAAAATATGCGGTATTGATTTGACGAACTCACATCCGAGAGAACGTAGGGATACAAGTAATGTGATAGTGTACTTTACGGAGGAAGGGGGACCCATATCAATACCCACCAATCTGGGAATATTCGATGGCTACATGTCTGCACCAGCATTTGTGACGATCTCGCTGATCCCGTATCTTGATATTTACAAAGAATCATTATCAGTTCAAAGTGTACAGAAACAAGAGACGTTTAACGTTGACGGGCGGCAGATCGATGCGCTCGTCACGTACACACCCGTCGTAGATTTCACCGACGGCGTCTTGAACGTCTCTGGTTTACAGACTGTGAACGAGTACGAGGACGTGTTGCAGACACTGGTCTACGATAACATCGACGACGAGCCGAGTGATGAAACGCGATGGGTTATGATTATGCCGCACGACGAAAATTCTTACACGGTACCCAGGAACGTATCTATTGTGATCAATTTAGTGAATGATTCGCCAACGTTTAACGACAACCCACGAACCACGCCTAGTACATACGAGGATGCGACACGTGCCTCTCAATTTCCGGTCACCACATGGCATTTAGCAGGTAAGCGTACATGCACTGGTTGTTTGAATGGCATGATCTGCGATTTGTGCCGTATTTTTCTTATTATTTTAATCCATTAAATACTAGGCCAAAATTACCTAAGCGCAGAACAAGAGTTGACACATGAAATTATGTAATATGTCACATGGCGTGTATTTATAATATTGACATGCCAGTAGCTTTCTTGGGTGGGCACAAAATATTCCAACAATAATCTTCCAGCTGTTTAAGTCTATTTACTCATTTGACATCATAATAGTTGCAATGACTCAGTATTACATGGATTAAAATATATGGAACACATTTTAACACGAATGGTAATAAAAATATATTTATGAGTCGAATTACCAGAATCACCTCACAATAACACTATCGGTTTATATACTATATCCCAACCAACAGCATATGTATGTGTAATTAGTATATTTGATTACAGCATACTTAAAGCGGGAGGGTTGTCACCTGCGCACGGCGGGAATTGAGTCCCAACCGATGATAACAACACACGCTAAGAACGCAAAAGCTATGGCCATCTGACGCATGTGTAGGTGACGACTCCCCCGCTTTAATGAGTTTGTGTTTTCAATTGTTCACAACACGCAGTTACAACTCACACTCCGGGTTGCGCGATACAAGATCCTAGTTGAACATTATTTATTTTCAAAACATTTTCTTGGCACATCAATACTATTACATTGTATCTGTTGTTGTGGGTCGCGATCAGTTGGTTTTCGCCACCCTGATACATAGCCCTGTTTTCTGCGACAAATGATTCTGTATAATTTTATCAAATCGATAAATCTGGAGGAACACTGCGATAAGACTTTCCGATTTCGACATTGTGAAATTCTTTCGTTTTTTGGGAGAAAAAAACCTGAAAAAAAAATTCTGAAATTTATATCAAGAATACTAGTAAGTCACGGCGAAATGTATTTCCTGTGCGCCTATAACTAATTTTCACAAATAGCGATTAACAAGAATATTATTTACAATAAAAGAGAATTTGCTATATTTTTTGCCTTTTATTTGTCTTGAATTTTGACTGAATCTGAATAAAATTACAAACTACGTAAGGGTGTTCACCAACTCATGTATGAACAATAAATATGACTTTACTTTGAAAAATACTGTATTTTTACTGTATTTCACAATGTCGAAAACGGAAAATCTTTATCGGAGTGTTCTGATCAAATCAAGATGCAACATACGGTATTACCTACGAGTACAGTACTTGTATGCAAGCTTTCAACTGAATTTTAGTGAGGCATGGATTTGAATACTAAGAACAAAAGGAACGCCAGCCGGCATTTTTTTGTTCAAATCTTTAAAAAATATGACGTGTAACCCAATATGCATAATTATCATAAAATTGTGAATGAGATCACGCTGCTCATCTCCGAGGAGGGATCTGGGACACGTTTATATATCAGAATTTAGCAATTTTGAAGATCAAAATGGCCGCCAGTCAGACATACTTTATCAAATGAAAATTGATGTGCATATGTAAGTCATCATTCGTGGTCTGTGTATTTAGTTTGAATGTGAGTGGTCAAAGCATGTCTGGGAAATGGCTCCGAACAGCCGAAACCGAAATTAATCCGATTGCCGTCAGAAACAGGGACTAAAAGGTTATAAATAAATTATCATAAACAATTCTAAGAATATTAGAGAGAAAGTCCAACAAGAATCTTATTTTAATCAGATCACTATGTATTTAATTACGTATTTGACAGAAAAGGAAACAACGAATAAACGAGTCAACGCGAAGCAGCTACCATAACTTAGCGCCTGTTTATCATAGCTATACACGCTATATTGTCACCATATATCACAAAACATCGTGTTCCTCGGTACCATTTAACAACGTGTAACCTAATATGAAAAAGCACACGGCATACTATGGTCGGATTCCCCCATGCCGTCAACATACCATACCCTCCTTAATTACACAGTAAAAAACAGAGAGAACATGAATCAAGCTGTGTATACACATTTATTAACTCTTGTTCTGTGATGGGAACCTTTCGTGGGCACTCTTTCACATTGCAATAAATCTTCAGTCAGCACTATGTGTAAGATTTTACCAGCCAGAGCACAGACACACAAACAAATGTTTGCTAATATTATGCTCTAGTAACGACTGAACATGGTTAATTAAATTGTTTACCAAGCCCACCCATTTTGTACACAGTTCCGGGGTAAACATCGATCATTTCACGACTGAAATCGTACTTAACTGACTGCACCAGCTCATAGTTTAGCTCATAAATACGTTTTGTCATTCCCAACAACAAACACGTGTTCAGTAATACGATTAACGTTGCAGTTGACGATATCGTTATAAGAATGTGCACAGGACTTACCAAAATATAAAACGTAAAGCACGGAGTTCGGGTTTCGTTTACACAAAATGAAACAAGAATTCTCATTCATATAAGTAGGGCAAACAAATCTACGCGACTGACAAACAACGGGACAAGGCTAATAAGATTAAACTTTATGTACTAGTATTGCGGTTTCTCGGATTAAAGGTACGCGGGTGGGGTGGGAATATATAGTGTGAACGTGCTTCGTTCGATTGGCCTGTAAGCCTGTTTTCACAAATTCTCTTTTCTATTTTTAAATAATTGAAGTACACATTACAATAAAATTATATGTGATATATTTTTTATATGTACAATTACAATAAATAGCTGCGAATAACCCGTTAGATAATACGGGTTCTACGTAATCACTTAGCATGGTGCTGAGAGTATAGCAATGTTATTTACACATGTGACTCAATACATTGCGGAAAAGCTGTATAAACAGTCACATAGCAGTTACCATCAGCTGTCAATTGTATTTTACATTCTGTAGCATCCATTGTGAATGACAGTGACGTAGATGCAATCAGTGGTATCGCTATTATTGGAGTTGATAATGACCATGGTAGTTGGGAGTATCTGGCTTATCCTAGTCACTGGAAAGGTGGGTGAAAATAGACCGTGATATTCTGTTAAATGACGTCATCAAGTTTGTTCACAGCATGCACACTCACTTACTCCTCCCGACCATAGGGGTCGACCATTTTAAATCATGGGGGTTGCCAGAAGATTTATTTCAATAAAAATTGCTAGCTAGACACACACACACAATTATGCAGGGGAAAGATGTTAGCACACTCATGAACAATAATAATGTACAGATAAGACAACGTGAAAATGTTTTTTTTTTTATCTATTTTTTTTTTATTTATTCCAATCGGGGGTTAGTCCTGACTGAGTCTCCGTTTAGTGAGCCAAGACGATCAAAGACAAAATATTCCGATGGAGACGCTTTTAGTACCTCGAAATGAATGTGTATCCAAGATATGTATCCCGATAGTTCGGACTGTGCATACTTAAGTATTCACCAATAGATTCTTTTTGGATCTGGCGTCGTAAATCACATCGGAACTTCAACAACAAACTTCAACGCAAATATAATATCGGATTTTATGATTTTGTCGGATAATATATCACGAGAAAGCTAATACAAACCCGGTCAAAACACTGTTTATGGAATAATAGGCCATGATATATGTATTGTTACATGAAAAATGATTTGTATTTCTTGTAGAGATTGAATTGTCAGTAAATACCAACCCAGATGGATCCGTTCCCCGGAATACAACGTTGGAACACCTGTCATTGGTTCTTGCTCTCGAATTTTCCAACTTCGTTCAATTTATTCCACATCCTAACTGGCATGGTACAACGCACATAACTTTTGTTGCTTGGGACAAGACAGGTTAGTAAACTGTAGACAGCATTACTGTATGTCGGTTACAATAATTGAATTTTGTCGGATCTGCATAATACACATGTTTTTCTATTCCCATTGACTAATTAGCACATCAACCTTATTATTTGCATTATTGAGAACACTCTTTCATTGCATGTATGTATGTAAGCATGAAACCTTGTGTGTTTATGCATGAGAATAACTAATGCCGTGTATTTGATGTACTACTTAACACTGTGCTTGACAATGTAGAAAATGCAACAATAACACTAAGCCAAATGAAACCTGCCAAGTATTTGATTTATTATCAAAATCACTGACCACTTGCTAATGATTGCCGAATATACCATTTAATTGACCACAAAGGTCACATATACTGGTGCTTTCGTTGGTATGACAACATCACAAACATATATGTTCCAAACTGAAAAATGTTACTCAAGAAGCGAAACCAAACAAAAAATATTACTTTTCACTGAACATCCATTCTTGTTATAGGCGTGACGGCAAGTCTAAATGATGGAGATCTCACCAATGCAACATCTTTGAGTAATCATGACCCCTTTAGGTGAGTACACACATGGCATTACAGTAGAAATATGTAACATATAATTACAGTGATTAAAGGGAACCATGTTAATCCACCACGGTTGCACAGTAAAATCAAGTGACACCCTCTATGCAGTTAGGGTCAACTGAGTTCACGACGGGTAAACTATAAATTCACTGTATAATAATCACCAATCTTGTTTATGGGTAGTTTCGTCAGACGACATTCTGTTTTATATATCTCACGATGCGTAATAAGTGGTTTTCTCTTCTGTAGTGAGGATGCTGTTACAATTGCATTTGTAGTACAGCCAGTCAATGACAACCCGACTGTGAATGCATCAACAATAATTGCCCTGACAACCATAAAAGAAGACCAAGACAGCGGAGATGGAGATAGTATTGCCAAGTTGCTGAGCAATTGCCATGATGTGGATGTTATTGGAGAAGAACATTTGGGAGTAGCAATAACTTGTATGTTTCATCTTACATATTCAAGCAAAACACCTATCGTCATCGTTGCTACATAAACAAACAATAATCTTTGAGGTCGCATACAGATTTCTTCTTCGCAATATCGTCTAGTATCCTTATGAATGACAGTGCATTGTATCATTTTAAATTATACTGATAATGTCTTTGAAGTTTTTGTCCTGAAATATCAGATTCTATAACTGATAAAGTCAACGCTTTATCCCCGCAAAATTGCAATTGTTAAATTGCTTTTAGTGTAAACAATCCTATGTTTGTACTATTCCATAATGATTTGTTTAACATTTACTTTACTTCTGACACCTCAGATTCGGATATAAGCAATGGCATGTGGCAGTACACTATAGATAATGGCACTGTGTGGAATAATATCACTGCGGTCTATAGCTATATGGCACTGGTACTTGGTGAAGATGGTAATACAGACATATATAGGATCCGATTTTTACCAAATGAAGACTGGAGTGGTACAGCCTTTATTCAATACAAACCTTGGGATTTTACTGACGGCCTTACTGCTGGGACATTGAATGTGAGCACAATTAATGCTAAATATTAATTTATTTATTATTTTTATCACTATAATATAAGGTATGATAAGATTGTTTATGTCTGTAGATGAATTTGTGTAGCTACCCAAGGTTCACCGAAATAGGATTGTGTTTGGATATATCATATGATTAGGCAATTATGATATATCATGTTATTATTATGAATTATGATACAGGTTGATACTGCATCAATATAGCCAATAGTTATATACCTTATGCCAAGGCATTATATATAATAATGTTTTTGTTATGCTGCAGGTTGATACTACGTCAATAGACCCAGTAGTTGGAGCATATAGTCTAATTGAAGGCAAAGCAGTTATTACAGTGGAACCAGAAAACGATTCACCATCACTGTCATCCGGTAGTAATTTTTCACCTATGCAGGAGGACATCATCACCTCAACTGGTACTCTAGTAATTCAGCTCATTTGGTCTAGTTGGAGTGATAAGGACGGAGACGGACAAGGGATTGCTGTAGTCCATACTGATAACAGACACGGAGTATGGCAATATGGATTTTCATATCCAGTGACCTGGTACGATTTTATTCCAATACCAACACTTCACTATGCTACCCTTTTGAGTTCAAATGCTAAACTACGCTTCTTACCAGATGAAAACTTCAACACAGTGTATGACAATGATGGAAATGCCCGACCACCAGATGATGTGCCATACATAACAATACTTGCCTGGGACCAGACAGGAGATACATCGCTCCAAAATGGTGTGGATGTTTCGGATCATGCAGCTGATTCAACCAGTCCATTTAGTAGTGGCACATACAATGTCACCCAGCAAATCACTGCGATAAATGACAGGCCAGTTTTGAAACTGACCGACCCAGATACATCGTCTTATGAAACAACCTTACTGGAGAATGAATACGAGGTGGCAATAGTCAGTGAGAATGTAACTTTATATGATGTAGACAGCCCGTTTCTGCAGCTGTTGAAGGTTACAATTTCATACAATTTTGACTCAAATTCTGAAAACTCAGAAGAAATGGATTGTGAAGGAACATCTTCATCAGATGATGCAATAGAACAGATATTGTATTCCCTAACTGACCTACAAATTGATGCTACAGTACAGTCATGGTGTCCATATGAAATAGAGTTTCAGGCAATTGGTCCAACGATCCCAATTTCACAATTTAACACTCTTCTTAGAACCTTAAAGTACTCAAATACCAAGGCTGAGCCTCACCCAGCTGACCGGACAATTTCATTTAGTGTAAAAGATACATATACCATGAGTTTGACAGAAGAAACCACTGTTCATGTCCAGTTCCAGAATGATGCCCCGAAGTTACGATTAAACCTATTAGGAAATGATACACTATATATGACATATATGGAAGGTGTAGGTTCAATGAATATTATCCCTGAATTAATCTTAACAGATAGCGACAGTACTGTGATTATGGATGCAATTGCAGAGTTAGCTGAAGTATTTGATGATGGATTTGAGATTCTTCAGGTGCATACTGAGAACACAAACATCATGGCAACATATGTTGATGGTAGATTAACTTTAACTGGTGCTGACTCAATTCAAAACTATGAAATAGTTTTACGATCTCTTGTTTATGAAAATTCACATCAAAATCTTTCTGAAAGTGAAAGAACAATTCAGATTATGGTACATGATGGCGATATGAATTCATTACCGGTGTTCTGTTTACTGTCAGTGATAGCAGTGAATAACCCACCTGTATTCTTGCAAAACTCTATCCAGTTAACACCCATTAAAGAAGACAGTACTGACCCTCCACCAATTGCAGTAACAGACCTACTCTACTATGCAAGAGATGTAGACAATGTTGATTTAGGAATTGCAATTATCAATTCAAATGATGGCGAGAGTGGTACATGGCAGTTTGAAACAAATGGCGTTTGGACAGACATGCATGTTACTGATATTTCCAATACGCTTTTACTCAATTCTGAGCAAGTTATTAAATTTCAACCAAACAATGATTTCAATGGTGCTAGTTATTTGGAATACTTAGCTTGGGATTTAAGTGATGGTCATCTTAGTGGATCAATCAATTTAGATCTTACTCAAAGGGACATGGTCACTGGTGCATTTAGTGTAGACAATGCAACTGCAATAATCATGGTGGAAGCAGTCAATGATTCACCAGTGATGATGAGTGAAGGATATTTTAACACAATTTATGAGGATATTCCAACAGAACAGAATAATGGAACAGAAGTTAGCAAGCTTTTGGAGAACACGTGCACTGATATTGATGGTGATATTGTTGGTGTGGCAGTTATTGGAGTAGATAATCGTTATGGAATTTGGCAGTGGACATGCAGCTCTTCAATGGACCGGGAGTGGCACGACCTCATTGGTGATATAATGTATGGTAAAATTGTACCAGAAACACCAATTCCTGAGAAAGCAACATTGTTATCTGCAGACTGTTCAATTAGATTTCAGCCACAAGATGATTTCAATAGTGAAGGAAATACTGAAATTGACCTTGGTGCAAAACATGCTATGCCATATGTCACGCTACTGGCTTGGGACAACACTGGTGATACCAATGGTAAATCGGGATGCCATGGACAAGATACAACACACAATACAGAGAATGATATAAATGAGTTCAGTTCTGATGCTTATAACTTTTCCATTTTGGTAGAAGCTACAAACGACCCACCATCATTGAAACTGGGCAATTCAGATGCTGGAAACTTTAAAACACACTTTATTGAGGATGGTGACAGAGTTCACATTGTTGATGTAACTTTTGTTAACATTGTGGATGTTGATGACATCTTTATGAAAAACATGACAATAAGAATTAATAATGTAATAGATGGAGCTGGAGAGATCCTAGAATTGCAATCATCAAACATTGTTTCAATGTCTGGATCACAAGTCAGAATTAAGCTAACACTAAATGGAAGTGCGACTATAGTGAAACTATTACAATACTATAACTCTCATTCTGATAACTCTACTATAGGACGCACCAGCCTCACTTTCATTCCTAGTGATCAATCTGAACAAATCCACAGTGAGGCATTCATTGAATTGCTAAAACATGTTATGTACAGTAATCATGTTGATGAACCAAATAACACAACTAGAATGATAACAATTGACATAAGTGATGGGCAGGAGTCAGGACATGCTACAACATTGATGGAGTTTGTAATTGTGAGTGACCATAACCCAGAAATAACTATGCCCACCGCAGAATTATTTTTTACTGAAGGAGACTCAGAACTTTATATATTCCCGGATATTCAGCTAGCAGATGCTGATGACAATACATACTACCACATACAAGAAGCTGTAGTAACTATATATCCACTATTCAGTGGGACCTTAGTAGATGAATGGCTCACCGCTGTTGACTTTAACAGTGAACTAACTTTGGATTACAATTCCACCACTGGACTTCTCACAATCAGCACACTGTCATCAATTGAGAATTACGAGGCGATATTGCGAAGTGTGGTTTATGTCAACCAAAATCCTGAACCACTTCTCATAGACAGACAAGTCACTGTCAAAATAACAGATGATGCAGGACTAGAAAGCAACATTGAAGCAGTCACAATCAGAATTCTTGTTATTAATGATAACAAACCTATTGTCTATGCTGGTGATCTTTTTCATTTCATCGAAGATACAGACACATCTGTGGAAGTATCAAGTGGTTTAAGATTAATCGATGCCGATAGTGGGGACCTTCCAATTAGTTATGTTAATATTTCTATTCCAACAGCTTATGATGAATTTGATGAATATCTCGAAGTGGACCTTTGTAACAACATCACAAAACAATACTTGCCAGCAATTCACACACTTCAGCTGACTGGACCAGCAACTATTGTACAGTTTCATGCTGTTCTGGAATCATTGACATACATAAATATTGCAGAAGAACCAACTCCTGGCATACATACCATACAAGTTATTGCTAATGACGGCATATACACCAGTTCTCCAGCGTATATTGAAGTAGAGGTTGAAGCTGTTAATGATAGCCCCATACTGGACCTTGATATTCTCTCAGAAGGAAGAAATATATCAATGACCTATATTGAAAACGCTGGCGCTGTGCTCATACTTCAAAATTACTCACTGTCTCTGACTGATAACGATAATAAGAATCTCTCCTTTGCTGAAATCAGTTTGCATCATCCTGGGAGCGGATATTTTGAAATCATTATCACTGACACATCAGACACCAACGTTGAAGTCAGTCAACCAATAAGTTCTACTCATATTACTCTGACTGGAGAAGATACAATTGATAATTACAGGAAGATTTTACTACGCATGACATATGAGAATGTCAATAATAATCCAGTGACAGACAATCAACTAATAGAAATAACAGTATCAGATGGCCTGCTAGCATCCAGTGCATTTGTTCACCTTCATATAACAGCTGTAAATGACCCTCCGGTTGTTGAACTCAATGACTATGTAAATGAAGTTGTGTTTATTGAGGAAGGCAATGAAGTATTGATTTCACCAAATATAACAATTGAGGATTATGATGATAGTACAATAATAAATGCCAGCATCCAAATAAGAAACTGTCTTGATTGTCCATTAGAAAAAATCATTGTAGACAATGGCTTGATCAGTCACTTCGGTCTGACTGTCAGCTACAACACTACTTTTGGTACCATGTCAATAATAGGTCAAGGATTAACCAGCACATACCAAACGGTGCTCAGAAGTATTGCATACATAAACCATGCTGATGAGCCCAATTTTGAAACCCGGCTAGTGGAGTTCATCGTGAATGATAATAGCGATGCCAGTATCCCGGCATATGCCAGTGCGATAATTGCAATGATCAACGATCCACCAACTTTACAGGTAAACAATCTCTCATCAGAATTTCACACCTCTTTCATTGAGCATGGTCATCCAGTGGGAATAGTTGCTGATTCAACACAAATATCAGATGTAGATGACACCATGATAGCCAAACTGAGTGCAGAAATCCTAAATATTAAAGACCTTGGTTATGAAACTTTATTCTTTGACTTAGATGATCTTCCTGCAAGTATCATTCAATCAGCATTATCAGTCACTGAATTAGCTGAGCTGAACTCACATGATGGCCTGATGAATTCTACTAGATCTTTCTCTGTCACCCAAGAGTTCACATTGCACGAATGGACTGAGATCATGAAGACTCTGCGCTACTGCAATACATACAACAATGCAACAGGTGGTAAGCGTACTATAGAAATGTATATCACAGATCCTTCTGGAGCATCAAGTAACATTTGCCACAGTTATATAGATGTAATTCCAGTGAATGACCCACCAGTACTAACAAAACCATTCACCTATGAGTATGTTATTAAGGAAGATCAGAATCTCACAATTCCCGTATTAGCAAATTTTGAAGATGCAGAAGAAATTCTAGATAATGATAGTATTGTAATCCTATCTGATCCTGATTATGGAAGCGTGCTAACAATTAAAGGCAACATAGAATATTTTCCAGATTTTAATGATTATGGAAATTATACACTTTCATTCCATATTTGTGACAGTTTGTTTGCCTGTTCGGAGCCTGTGGTCATTAATATCACCATCCAATCAGTTAATGATCCTCCATATATAATAGAACCACTTGAAATCAATGTTGATGAAGATAGTTCAGTTAATATCAACCTCAGGGATTTTGTTGGTGACTACGAGGATGATCTCATTCCACATAATCCTTTCCCTGCAGTCACATTCTTAGCAGGTCCAAACACAGGAAAGAAGAATGTAAGCAGTGACAATCAACATGTTTATTTCACTCCACATACAAATATCAATGGCCAGGACCTTATCATTGTGTCATTCTGTGACAGTGACAATGCCTGCATTGAGTATGTCGAGATAACTATTAATGTCAAGTCAGTTAATGATCTACCCGGAGTAACTGTAGTTTACCCAGACCAAAGTGAGTTCTTCATACCCAATGAAGACACACCATTGCAGATTGAAATAATTTTAGAGGACTTGGAGGACAGAACACCTGGTGTGCTGACGATCATATCAGTAAACAGTGGTACTGCAGAACACAATCCAAATCATCAGTCAGAATCCATCGAATATGACACAGTATATAAACTAACAACTCATATTGACTACATGCCATTTAAAGATTTCTATGGAATAGATGAAATCTTATTTGAGGTGTGTGATAACGATAATGGCTGCATAAACACTACAATTGATATAGACGTACAGCCAGTAAATGATCCACCATTGATATCAGTCACAACATTATACATGGATGAGGATGACATATTAACCATCAATATGCCACATGACCTAAACATCACTGATGTTGACAATACTTTAGACTACACGAATGTAGAGTTAATGAAAGATGTAAATATTGGGGATTTACACGGTCACAATACATCTATATGGGTTTACCATCCACCAGACAATTTCTACTCAGACCAGTATACAGCTGATATTGTTTTTACCGTCAAAGCATGTGACACTGACCTACTTGATCAACAATGTACAAATGGTAATATAACTATCATCGTAATACCTGTTAATGACCCTCCAATTACACCTGTCATTGCCATTGAAGTCGATGAAGATGGCAGTAAAATGTTCAACCTGGGTGAATACATTTGTGACATTGAAGATGGTATGGTAAGAACTGACAGAATCAGCATAATTGAACCAACACCACAACTTGTGTCAGTTAGTTATGATACTTATACAGGCGAAATCACTGTTAGTGCAAATACCAATGTCTATGGATTCGAACAAGTGCATTATCAGGCCTGTGACTTGGACAACATTTGCAGTGACAACGGGCTGATAAATATAGATGTTATCAACATCAATGACCCACCAGTTGCAGATGACTTTGTGTATGAAGCTAAACAAAATGAACTGCAGTTGATCAGCTTATTCGACAAAATACATGACACTGAGTTAACAGAAGCAGAAAAGATAATTTTACTTGATGTCTCGCTCATAGACCCTCAAAGTGGTCAGTACGTTGGTAACATTGTAACAGAAAATGGCGGGACTGTTAAAGTGCTAAAACACCATGCACTACTTACATATGAACCAAGAATTGATTATATTGGAATTGATTATTTCAATTACTCTGTGTGTGATGAATGTGATGAAAGGCTTGGTGTTGTAGGAGTTACAGACATCAGCTGTGTCAAACAGAGGGAACAGAGCAGTGGCTTGAGTAAAAACAAGAATGGCAAAAGTATTGCGTGCGACCATGGTTTCATAACAGTGTATGTGCTGAATTCTAATGAAGCACCAGTCGTTTCTGAAATGTCTGCAATTACCATACAACCAGAATCAGTTCTAATACAACCATTTCAAGAACCATTAAGTGGTCTCACTACAGACAGCATGAACATTTATGACCCTGATGATATTCAGGCAGCAGGTATACTCAACCAAGGAATGGATCTGGAACAATACAATTTAATTGACATCTCTGATATCAACATCACAAGTCTTTCTGTTGTGACACAGCCAACAATGGGATCAGCTGAAACAGTCTTCTCAGATGATGAGCTTCCAGGTTTGTTGTACACACCATTTTCTGGTCAAAAAGGCTATGACAGTTTCATATTTCAAGTCTGTGATAAATCCACTGAATGGAAGATTGGAACGTGTACTTGGGCAACAGCAAGAGTACATGTTACAACTCCAGGACCAAATATAACAGCCATCATAGCAGAACCAGCCAAAGAAGAATTAGGTGACCTTATACTTCACACTGACTGCAAATTTTCACGATGGGATACAATAAGTGTCATATTTGATCGTGATACCAGCATGCCGCCTCATGGAAAAGAGGATACAGAACTATCTGCCAATGATTTGAACACACTTTTTGAGTTTGCTGATCCATTCATTACTGAAAATATGAACAGCAACCCTTACATTGGAGTATGGAAGACTCCAAACATTCTCCAAATCACCATAGTGGACGAGGGATACCCTCAACCAGCTGTAGACATTGGAACATGGTTTCTGAAGATAAAGAACATTGAACCATGTGGAGGATTTGATGAACTTTCACATGAACCGCTTCCAGTTGAAGAATGGTCCGTATTTTGTATGACAGATGCTGGCTACAACTCGGCTCACTCAACATCAACATCTCCATTGTTGGAGGGCAGTTGGGGGTACCACATACCAACAGTGAAGGATATTATAATTCGTAATCGTGATGTGCCTGTGCAAAAACTTAGAGAAAACAGCAACTATTTTGGTGAAAAGTCAGAACTAGTCCTGAGTCTCTGGCCACCTCTGTCTTACCTACAATTCGTAGAACTTTGTAAGCTTCAAGCAGACGAGATTATTGATTTTACTGTATTTGGTGAAGGCACTGAACTAACAAAGGCAAGTTGTGAAAACAGAGTACCAGAAGAGGTGGCACAGACATCAGAAACCAGCAGCACAGTCTATCGAGGAACATTTCTTAGATCTGTAAATAAACGGTCATTGGATCTTCTTTCCAGTTCTGACCCGAAAGGCACCAAATTTGAATCCTGGATAAGAGACAAAAGATCATCTTCATTTGATGGCAATTCATCAACTATCATGCCAGTGTTCACAGAGTTGGTGTTTGAGGTTACAAAAATGTCAAATGCTCTGATAAACCCAGAGGTGGACAGAGACACTTTTATCAAAACTGTCACATCATCAATAAAATTGGTGACGATAGCTAATATTGTATCAGTCACAACAGGTATGTCTGGTTTGGAAGCTTTAAACTACACAACTGACATGATAATTCCATTGGAGAAAGCTGAGCTTTACCAGGAGTACATCATTGGAGAAATTCCACAAGTCATTAGTGTAACAGCAAGTGACCCAGACAATTTAGACATGAATTACAGTGATGGAGATGTAATTAGCATTGTCTTTGATAAAGACACTGACATGCCTGCAGTAACAGAAAGGGCCGATTTGGACAAGATTTTTATGTTTGATCCTTCGCTAGGAACTGATTATTCAGGAATGTGGAAGTCTTCCCAAGATTTGGAAATAACAATAATAGATTCATACCACAATAGCAGAGACAGTAGAGATATTCAAAATATATCCATCACTTTTACACATAATATATTATACTCAGGACAAGAGTTCACTGGGCAGTATCTGTACCTTCCAACAACAAGGCCCAATTGTGTTGGAGTAAATGTCTGTGGTGGCAACACCACTGCACTGACTATAGGAATATGTAGTGAAGATGGACTGTCATGTCGTGCTACAGGCACATATTTCATCACTGATGGAAACTTTGGTACAGGCATTGCAAATAGTTCACTTTGGTGGATTATTCCAATTATTATCGGATGTGCTATTGTACTCTTCATTCTTATAATCATTGCAATTTGCTGCTGTAAATACAAGAAGAAAGCTTTTGAATTGCAACATGGATCATTTGATACTTCAAAACTCAAAAGAAGCTCATCCACTCGAACATCTTGGAAGGTTAATGCCAAAACACAGAAGATTGGTCGCACAGCTCCAGGGATACTTCCACAAATGATGTTATTTAATTCACAAGCTCATTCCAAAAAACTGGTTGATGATGTCAGCAAGGCACAGTATGGGAAAAAGCAAGTGAATGTGGATTATTCAACTGTACAGTCAAATAAGGTTAGAACTTTAACCCAGTAGGGGTATTTAAAGGGTGGTAGTCATTGCACCATGCATACTCAAGATATAGGTTTCATATAACCAGCGGTAATTAGTACAAGTGATGCCCAGGCCAAAACTCGTACCCGTGATTTCATTAGAAAAGTGCATTGGATTGTGGGAAAATTAATGTTTATCAACACAAATGTCACACATGTGCGGCAGGATGACCAACGTGCTTTAATATTTGGGTTGTGGGAAAGTAACTGTTTATCAACACAAACTATGCACATATGCTGCTTATATATACTATAATTTAGATGAATAGCTCATTTATTTATTTGCTGATATTTATATATATTTTTCCATTACAGAGTGACGACAGCACAGATCCAACTGTATCTGCCATGTTTCCAGATCTGAGAGCTGCCTTGTTGCTTCAACGTCACACCAAGCATAGTTCTATTGGTGAATCTGAACCCAACATTCATCCCCATTCACCGACAAGATCAAACCCGACAGCACAGCAACCACCATTGTTGAGACATAATTCAGAAATCGACATGTCTATTCCATCAAAACATGAAGACACTATTCCACAATATACTCAAGAGTGGCAAAAACTCAGTGGTGTCATACCACCACCACCGTCACCACCCCCTCCTGACTGGGATGACAGTTCACAATCCAGTCCAAACAGAAATAATACAAAACTATCAACACTTAGAACTGACCCGGTGCAAGAAGCACTGTTGATTGGACATAGGAATTCCCTCCAAAATGCATCAAATGCAATGTCACAAAAACTTTCGCAGATGGGTAACCAGCCATCTTCTGTACAGGGGACAATACCTCTACGCTACATATCAAGCAATATTCCTGAAGCATCAGCAACATCAAGTAACTCAAGCCTTTCTGATGTAGGATATAGGACATTTCTACAAAATCATTTTCCAAAAAGAAAAATATCTCCTTCAGTGGAGGACCTATCAATTCAAAGACCGGGAAAGGAAAGTCCCACAGAGGCTTTCGGAGAAGAATCAGAAATTGAAATACTAGCAAAGCAGAGAAAATCCACAATTAAAAGAAGATCTGATACAAGTATCTACAACAAAGATGGTTATGAACTCAAAACTCTCAGGTAAGATAATGTAGAGAAAACGATATGAATTGAAGCCATGTGTAACTGTAATTTGCAGAATCTTCTATGTCATGTTCTCTAGGGTAGTCTTATATATTCATTTTGTTCTGAGACATCACAGTCAATGAGTTCTGACATGTATGTACTGTTTATGTATTCTATATTGCTGAATTCCTGTGGTATCACCCAGATATTATTTTTGGGATGTTTGCAAGGATCAGCACCAACATTTTTTTAATACGTTATTAATTGAATCCAGGTTCCCACAACATCACAGATGTTTCATGATTCTCTATGCTCCTGCTAAAACTGTTATTGGAACAATACTTTTAGACCCTATTAAATTTCTCAGGAGTTTTATATATTTTTCAAAAGTACGTTTTGCAAAATTTCACTACTCACCTCCCCCCAAACCGCATCATGTGGAAGCTGATATTTATTTGTGAAAACAATATGGTAATGGCTGGATATCTTTACCCAAAGATATTGTAGTTTCATGTCTTGTGTCTTTGCAAATACCATACTGATTCAGTGATCGGGGAGCTGTACTTTATTCATATCAGAGTGTCCAAAAATATTAGTTCTAACTACTAGAGCAAACATACCTTGCAGCAATCATTTATTAATGAAAACAAATGTGTTTTTGTTTCAGGGGCGACAGCCATGTTCCTGCTATGTACAACTCTGAAAATAGCTTGCATGATTTATTAGCAAGGAGGCAATCAACAAACAAGGATAGCTCCAGGTTGTAGATCAATAGAAGAGATATTTAAATGGGGTTGCATTGATGCAGTGTAACAGTGGGGGTTGGACGATGAATGTTGAATGTCAAAGATAATTTGGGATAAATACCCAAGTAAGCAGACACAAAGAAATTCTATGTAAAACAATAAGCTATTACATATAATGACGCATTTAATTATATACCCCAGAAAAGGACAGAAAAGTGAGGCACACAAATTTTAATTTGGATGAATTATGCTAGTTAGTGTTAATCACCATGGGTGCATCTTTCTAAAGTTGTTTAAATTAGTTTTGTACTAGTATGTGTATACAGAACATGAGTCAAACCATATTTTGTACAATATGAAGGTACTAATATTCACTTCTTTATTCAGTATATTTGGCAAAAAAGGAGACAAAGTCTAGTGTTTAGCCATCATTCACATATTTTCACCACAATACATTGGCAAAATATTTTTAAAATGTGTTATTGTGATTATAAAACATGTCGAAACAATTAATGACAATTGACAAGTTCATTGGCCATCAGTGTATCATATTTGCTATACCAGAAGCACATCCACAATATTAGTGCATATAAATCAAAAACGTGTTGTTTGTATATTGAAACGTTAAAATACGACTTATTTTGGCAATTAAAACATTTTTGTAATTTATGATGACTCGTTCGTTCAATCCAGATAATCGAATTACAAATTTCAATTAGTGCAAAGTATAGAGCATTGTAATGTGCCAGAGTTTCCTATCCTTCTCTAGGAGTTCATGACTTAATATTAGTGAACAAAAGAAATTGTATTTACTGTGTTAGAAGCACATAGTAGAGGTACTGTACTGAGAATTGTTTGTTACTGCTTTTCTCAAAGCACTTAATGCAATGCATGCATGCATTTCAAATACAACAAACATAGTAATACAATTCCATCCAAAGAATGTTTAACAAACACATTGACTGTATACTGTAAACAGAATCTTTTTATTTTTTGTTCATATTTTAGCTAATATGCATTTTTTTTTTGTTAATTCAAAGTGCATCATTTACATATAGTTAATGTGGTGGTGGTAGTTGGAGCAGGGGTGTAAACAATAGGGGTGTAAACAGCAGGGGTGTAAACAACAGGAGTGTAAACAGGGTGTAAACAGCAGGGGAGTAAACAGCAGGGGAGTAAACAGCAGGGGTGTAAACAACAGGGGTGTAAACAACAGGAGTGTAAACAGGGTGTAAACAACAGGGGTGTAAACAGCGGGGTTGTAAACATTGTAGTGAGTGTGAGAAGAAGGCTTTACAGTAAATAGATAAGTTTTTATTAAGACTAGGGAATATATGTATGGGGAATCAAACAAGTTGCACACTTGTAACACTTGAAATTATTTAAAAAAAAAAGAATACAAATTGTTTTTCCTATAACAGTATTGGGAGTTTATTTTGGTTAATAAGTATCCATAATGGGAAAATTCATTATTTGACATGACACGTTTGGTTTAGAATATTACACCACAAACCTGCATAATGTAACCAATAAATGGAGATTATTTGGCTCAAATTAGCAAAGAAATCACAAGAAAATACGTAATGTGAGGTAAATAGTATGGCGGACAAAGGGTTAATGTAGCAGTATGATCCCCCAGGCTTAAATTTGTCAGTGTTCTATGGGTAGAATGTACTTTAACTTGACTGCCAAGGTAACTGATACACCGTTACACTACTCATTTTAAAGGGGATCATTGCTTATCAGTTTAATCTAGATGTGAAAGTACATACTGGATTACAATGGAAAACAAAAGACTGTGAAATGTAAATAAAAAGTATATACAATGCATACCAATAGATACCCATGGGAAAGAAACTCTGTTTTTTTAAATACATCGTTTAAAGCCCTATTCTGACCATATAAAGAACCTAAAACAAAGGTGATCTTAATGTCTCTAATCAGCGTAATAAGCAGGCTTTCTGTGTCTTCACAGTTTACCAGACAGCTGGTTAGTACCTTGTATTTGAAGCCACACTTTGAGAAGGTTTAAGTGGCCTTTAAGGAGGTTTGAGCTGAGTTGATGATTATATGTCATATTCTTCATTTATTTAAGTTATTATTTCCATAGTGAGCTTATTTCTTCATATCTCAAAATTATGGGATTAAAAAAAAAAAAAAAAACATTTAAAAAAGGAACATATCATTTGGACAATTTCCAGTATTCTAGTTTTCCATTTATATAGAGAAATATGTTCTCTCCCACAATTCAACACACTCAGTTGTATAAAATTTGGCTTGTATCTAATTGAAGGGGAAAGATAACAATGCCAAGGTTCGAATCACCAGCCACCATTGTTTAGAAGTTTTCATGTCTTTTTTATTCCAATGTAATTTCAATCTGCTAAATTTGTAGTGAAATTACATTTATAGCAAGCTGTTCGTTTAATTCCATCAATGCCACAAGTTTTGTATTTTTCAGTGTGTTATTTATTAAAATTGAAAAAATTATGCTAATATTGTGAAAGGTTACAAACCTTGACTTTTGTGTTCAAAGTGTTAAGATATGAAATACATTATTATAGTAAAAAATAATGTACATGAACCAATTTTGAGTTGCCATGGATACACATCAAAAAGTATAATTAAACTTACAAAAAAATTTGTAGGAATTACCCAGATCAATAAACTAAAATAAGGTTGCAGATAAATCACCAATATTAAAACAAACTACATGTTTACACGATGGACTGCTTTATTTTTGTTCAGATATTTTAACTTTGTGTTTAATTGTATTGATAAGTATTGTATACATAAAGCTAAAAAAAAAAAATTTCAAGGAAAAATTAAGCTATAAGTACAGCGTTTGGCCAAATATATTTTATTATCTTTCATACCCTTAAAAATGTAAACTTGTAATTCAATCATTCCCCAGATGCAATTCTTGTCATATTTGGAGTCAGTGTTTGTATATGCCACCACCATATAGTGGAGGTACATGTACATTGTACTGTCTTTTACTCGGAATTGTAACACTAGCCCAGTAACATCCAAATTGATAGTAGACAGTCTCCTAGTGAGTTTTACAATAATATCCATCATTGTACTGTTAAAACTTAGTCTGTGTTAATTATGTTTATGAACTGGACTGGTCTGTTTAAAAACAAAAACCAGTACAGAAAACTGAACAAGGCAGCTAAAAGAAGAACAAGGCAGCTAAAAGAAAAACATTGCTGACAAAATGTTTTGTTCAATTTCAAACTCAGACATGCTTGAAATGGGGTAGGATCCTGAATCCAATCATAATCACAGAATTGTGGATACTGTATTTGCCTATGGAAAGTGCATATAAATGGTTTGATGGATACTGTATCATTAAAATAAAACTTATTTTGACAATAGAAACCCCTCTAATTTATGTAAATCAATGCAGGTTTTGTAGATCATTGTTGATTTGTAGGACAACATGCACATTTAACCATAGTTCAAACTTTTCAGAAAAACCTTGTTAATCTTGTAGGTTTACTATCTAGATTAATGTATCAATTAGTTTAATCCTTGTGTTCAAGATAGATTAATGTGTTCAGACACCATCTGTTCTACAACATCAAGTGTACTTTTAACTTGATATTAGTTTTTTTTTTACTCCTAATGAATTTTGACACACCAGCAAAAAATATAACAAATATGACAAAATTATTTAGTAATCAAAGCAATGAGAAACTCATGGCAGCTGGACTACCATGATCTAATCTGTTTATTAGTATGCATAGAAAGGAGTTGAAGATGTTATAATAGCTGGGTTTGTCAATGAGGACAGTCTATATACTGCAGTATAGCATAATTAGTTCATCAATTCAGATACAAAACAGTGAGCAAGGTTCACCATCAAAGAGTTGCAGGAAGATACTTTGTAATAAATGGGTTGGTAGAAGGATCCCACTGCTACTCAATATTACTGCAACGTCTCCAAAATCAAAGTCATACATACATTAATATCAGATTACCCATGGATTTATGGTTACTTTTTTCTAAAAAAAAACATTTAGAAACTCAAAATGACACTTGAAAACCGTCTGAGCAATCACAACAGAGAAATTGACATCACTAGTGCAAAGTAATATAATTTGGAAATAATATGAGAAACCACATTCGTGCACAGATGGCATACTAAATAGCCTTCCAAAATAATGAATCATAACATCTCACTTGAATTTGAATAAACATTTACACTTAACATTCATTGGTAAGCTGAAATGCGTGTAATACTGTGAATAAATTGGTGGGTTAAATTTAACTTGCAACAAAATATTTATTGTAAAACATTCAGCAGCAGTCTAATTCATAAATTGAGTAAAATACGATGCTGACATGTGGCCATTTTCAGAAATATTACGAGTAAGAAAGCATCAGATTGTTTAAGATGATTCACTTTTCACTGCTTCAGAATTTAGTTGCTATGTATATGTAGCAACCCAAGGTCTCCAAAAATCAGTGATCTCCAAAAATATTTACATGAGAGTAGAACCTAATTAACATTGTAAGTAAATTATCACAGAAATAAGAATGTTATTTCTTCAAACTGCTGTGTACAAAGGACAAAGATTCTCCTTCAACAATCAAACTTTTTTACACATTTTGTCCACGGTAAAATGATGGAACAAACGTTTTCAACAAGACAACAAATATATACTGCTCATAGATTCTGTTTAATAGAATTTTAATATATTTAAAAATAAAAGGGAATTCAGACCCATGGACTGCAAATGGTATTCAGTTCATCTCAAGGACTGCACCATGGGACACCCTCATTCTGCATTGTGAACTTTTTTTTTTATTTGAACCAAGAAAATATATATTCGCCTTGCAAATCCAGTGTTACACTGCAACAGACACCGGAAAACTTTTATCAGTAAACAATTATATTTTTTTAGTTTTTCAGTGATTACAAGTGAAATATAGCGTTCATAGTGTTAAGAGAAACTTGTTCCCAGCATGTGCATAACATCCAAGGTGACAAGTTCATAATGGTTATTTGAATGGTATACTTTATGTGAAATGTGTATATATTCTGAACAAATGTAAAGCTTGTTAACATAATAAAGTCCATTCTAGCAGGTTTTAGTGGTTATTTACATTTTCTACTGCTCAATGTTTAAAATATTTGATGTCAATATCACGTTTATTAGTTTCCCAAAAAACAAAAGCAAATAGAATTATGGTGAAAGAGGGTGCTGTAATAATGAAAACTAAAATGGTGAATCATTTGACATGATCTGCCATGATAAATCTACTAACCTGATGTGTACTGATGAGATATAGCATTAATATTCACACCGCATTAAATACCGGTACATTAGACAATCCCTTTGAGAGAGGTGCTGGCTTTGGCTACTTTGCAACATTTCCTCCACAACCGTACGTGGTTGGTTGTGATCAGACACTGAAGATTGTCTATTATACAAATGAGAGCTGATACAGAACTATCAACAGGAGGACAGTGACACATAACGCAGTGATTCAAATGTTACAATATTGCCTTTATTTCTGACGAAAGGAAATAAGACATGTAAAAGATACTGAAAAAGGAAAGCTTACAAAAGTATAGATCGTCATTGTCAGACGTGACGACCAGGCTTTGACTGTACAACAAACAACTTAGACTATAGTTGACTGTGGCTTAGAAAACATGGCATATTTTTGTGAAACGGCAGTGTGGTACTGGACAACAGACTACTCCCTTTCACTGTGAATTTCAAATCTCATATCAGCAATACTTTCCATTACTAAATGTTGATTTTTCTAAAAAACAACACATTTTCCATATGAAACACATTTGTACATAAACAGTGTTACTCACTGACCTATATAAAGACTCTTGTATGTAGGAAACATTTGGCCAGTGACATGTTGTATCAAAGAGTAGGTTCAACCTCTTCAAGCATCAGTAATGTACACGAGGGGTCACAGTACATTTTCTGACTAAACTCATGGGTCAGATACCACAATACTCTGAAGAAAAGCTGCCATCAGTGACAACAAATGTTGTCTGAAGACTTCAGCCAAAATGATTTTAAACAGAAGTGCATTTATCGATTCTCTCAAATGTACTTTGTCATAATATCCATAATATAAATGCTTCTTTCTGTCTAATCAACAACGAGTGTGGTAAAGTCATCAACTATGATTTTCTTTAGATACAAGTTAATATTTTGGAAAGCACAGAAAACGTACTGTCGCCCAAATGTGTGTATCTCAGTGAACAATATACTAATTGATATCTCATGATTCTAACATATAGATATACATATAAAGTCAATTACCTAATTTAACACTGGACTAAAAAATTTTTTGCATAATAGTGAGAACCACCACGTTCATATCAAGACAACGAGATAGTTGACTAGATCCATCCATTCTACGGGGCACATAATACAACACATACGTCTTCAGAGAGAAAATACACAAGCATACGTATGACCCGCTTGCTGTGATACTATTATTTACAAATGTCATTTTCATCAGTTCTAGTTAGAACGAATCAGGAATGGCACGTATATACAAAAGTCAAGTTAAAGTTGGTGCCATTTCTCAGACAGATCGCATCAAACTGTTTCAATGGAGTTGAAATATATATATATGTACATCTGTATAAAAAGTACCATTGGTTTCACAGTGGGGGGAAAAGAATGTGCCATGTACCTTACAATTGAATGTTCTCACTAGCCATGTTTGCCACCATCTGTAATTGTCATTGCGGTGGCAAAGGAATGCCTGTTGTGTTGACAGGGCTATCTGTCAAGTTCTTGATAAGCTGTGCTAACCATCGCTTGGTAGAATTATCATCTTTTAATACAGCTGCAAATGTGGTGTCTTTTAATTGGTCCGGAAGACACTGACGTAAAGCTTCTCTTGCTCTATGATGGAAACAGATTGCAGTAGTTCAGTATTACAAAGGTTAGGACTGAATTAATGATAACATGTTTCCTCATGAGTTCACAATATGGTTAGAACACAGAAAAACGAAACAGATTTGGGAAACCGGGCAAATTTTCATGAAAAGTCAGAAATGAAAATGAGAAATTGTCATTTTTCGCATTGGTTTCTATGGTGAGAGTATTTCAATTTTTTATGTTAATAATAACATGGGATGAACAAGTCATATATTGGTATAAATATTAAAATCAGTTGAAAAATTAAATTATTAATGTTTTCTCACACATTGCATTGCCAAATATGTTCATTATGACGATGATGGTCTTCACTACATGTTATGTTCAGTGTAGTCCCATATGACATATACAATACATGTTAAGTTTAGATACACATAATATGAATGTGTTCTGCCAAACCACTTCCCTTTAAGACGCTGACATTTTCATAGCAAGAAATGTTTGCAGTAGCTAACTTGTGAATTCACACAAGAAGTTAATTTAATAAGTGATGCTGACTCCAACTCAAGTGAAAATTGCTACACAATTTACGTGATTTTACCGGACTTTTAAATTATACATTTTGTACTGTATATTTGATAACCAAGCTTTTGATATTTATTTTGTGAGGTCTACAACAATTAATCATGACATGAAAGTAATACGTGTATTAGTTGGATCTTGAACCATCAGATATCCATGAAGGTGTGCATAGGTGATAGATGCTACAATCCTGCACATACAATGTGTGTGTGTAAAGAAACCACAACACATAGGGAACAGAGTGAAATGCATGGTTGAATCACAAATTACCTTGGGTTATCAGACAGCCTGAGATAACACCTTACTACATGTTTCAATAGTCTTGCAGATGGTTCTTTACCTAGTTGTATCACCATTTTACCCTGCAGAAAAATACAGTTTGATTGTAATGAGTACAAGAACTGGTTTGTATTTATTAGATACAGGAAATGGATGTGTTGAAAGTCATAGGGATGTAAATACTGTTTTCTTTTCCAAAATGTTGACTCTTTTATGAAAACACAAGTGTGCATATCATTGCTACATATATGTAAGTGCACATACCATGATTATTGCTATGTAAATGTACTTACCAGGATT